CCGCTACTGTGCCTCTTAAGGTAGCCGCTAAAGTTGGTTCTCTTAAGGCATAATTCTGCAGCTCGAGCACTTTTTTTTAGGGATAGTAATCGCTGCCCAAAGGTTACTAACAGGTCAAATTTGCCTGGAATTTATCCCACCGCACTTGTATAGTAGTGGGAAAGTATTGGGACAAGAAGGATTTTGTGTGGAAGTACTAAACAAGTGGCTTCCAATATGTTATTATAATATTATATCAGCAAACTACAGGAGAATTACCAAACCGACGTCAACCTCCAATAATATTATATTCTAGTAGTAAGCCAATATCAGTCCACCTAAAAAATAGTATATTAAAAAAGTACTACCTGTACAACTTGTAGTAAAATAGTACCATTACTACTCATGAGAAAACTAAACTAGTAAAATCAAAAGCCATCATGACTACAGTTAGCAAAGCTATTCAAGTATCTTCTATTTTCTACTGCTGAGTCTTTATAGACAAGCTCTGTCTACATAAAAGATTTCAGCCTAAATCTTCTTGATACATACTAGAATTGACTTCTGCCTAACAGCAATGGAGAAGAGTTGTTAACAATATAATATGTTCCTGACAAGAATATTTATCCTCATACTTTAACCTTTACTCCTACAAGTCTTCAATAAATATAAAAGAAGAAACTAGTTAAGTCTTCCTAAATAATTCTCCACTTATCAAAAAATTGCAGGCACTAGCCTCTTTCAATCGCTTTAGAGTTAGCTACTGCTTAATACTTGTAGGATTAAAATAAACTGTAATACAAGGACTATATTTGGTTTTCTCTAGTTTAAATTACTGTCTTATACTATCAAAAATAATAATTGGTACTATTACATTAATTCTATCTGCAAATATACAAAGAATCAATATAACTTGTCTTTTATCCCACTCAGACCAGATTTCTTTAATATAATTAGTCTTAATACTCATAACATTATAGGTATAACTATAGAAATATTCAAAGAGCAAAGAGGTTTTCTTAAAATTACAAATATCACTGAGCTGAAATTTTCTGTAAGTACCAGAGAACAAGATTACACCAAGAAAAGAAGTAAATACTAGTTTAGAGTTTTATTGATTAAACTAAATCCAATTTGAAATAAACAAATTGTCCGCTTCAGGTACTTTTTGTACTTTATAGGTAGTAAACCCTAAACTAATCCTATATTATTGTTGGAAGTTGTAAAACAACTCAGTTGAAAATTGAAACCAGTCTCCTGCATGTGTACTGTTTAGTCCATATATCATCTCAAATATTTTAAATAATGTCTACCTAAACTGCCCACCATACCACTCTTACAATTTCGCATTTTTCTAAATATCTCTCATACAGTATTCTTTCCATCTCCTGCTAGTAACATAAAACCACTATTTTAACATATCATCTATCTTTTCCTATTTACAAAATCTTGTTACCCTTTTGGATCTACCCACTGATAGTAGTTTGAGGAATTTGAAATTAAGCCACAACTTTCTCCTGAAAAGGTCATCATAATACTGGTACTTGTACTCAAGCATTTCAAGAGTTCAAACTTTACTTACAATATAGTATATTAGATTTAAAACAAAAAAAGAAAAAAGAAAAAACTTGAGTACTTCTAGCTTTTTTGCATGCATGGAAGTAGGATCAAATTGGTCACTGCTAGTGAATTTGTTAAACCTTTGATACACTTCTCTCCAATAGTGGCTTTGCCCCCTAGTCCTCATTGTATTTTATTCATATCTACTATAAATGCTTTAAATAATAGTACAATAATATTATTATGTTGATATTAGTTTTAAAACTACTATTACAATACCAGTACTCCTACAAGAATACAAGTATCCCCTCGGCCACTAAGACATTCAGTCCAGTTTGAAATGTAGAAAACTAACCGTATTAAGGAATTTTATCGCAGATCAGTAAACCTCATCTCAACTGTTGCTTTCTCACTCTTGAGGGAGTACCAATCCTGTATCTCAATATCAGACTATTTTCCAATTTCCAATAAAATGCCACCAAAAAGAAGAATCCAAGAAACTGGGGGTACGAATTCTGGTCCTCACCAAAGAAAGAAAATCCGATCTGGAAAGCTTCAGAGTCCCACCGATGAAAAGGACGCCTCCGAGAGCCATGAAAACCAGAGTGAAATGGCTGCGATCCCAAATATAACACCTATGCTCCCGAGTAGATCATCCGGAGTTATTGGAAATAGTAGAAGCACTGAAGAACGATCATTAGGTCCTTTATTTCATGTACGGTGTTGCCCAGTATTACCCCATCTTCCCTGGTTCCTCAAGGATCCTCAGCACTAAATCTCCCTTGCCAGATACCACCTACCAGTGTGGAGAAACAGAAAACAAAATCCCAGATACCTGTTGCTATGCTGTCCGGGCTACCTAAGTTTGAACCATTCTAAGTACCGTTCCCTGAGCACCAAGCACAGATAAGCTACCAAACCAATTTCTGCAACTTCTTCTCGATAGGTATTTCAGTTGTGACATGCATATAAAATAGGCTTTATTACCAGCACATGTGTTAAATAGTCTAAGTCCGATCACATTATTTTCTCTATTTTGGGACGATCAAGTATTTGAGCAGCTCACACTGCATACCAATTTGTATGCAAAAATGAAACAGGAGGCAAAACCTAGTAAAGTGCCTGACTGACTTGGACACTGTCATGAGCGACTTGGAGCCGGAAACAGAATGAGACCATGGAAAGAGACCACCTCTCATGGGCTGAAGGTATGGATAGAGATTATAATAAAAATGGGACTATACAAGGAGTCAGCTCTTCCCTTGTATTGGTCCAAAACTGGAAGAAATAGCTGGAGAAAGGTCTCTTGGAAGCCAGTTCAAAAGTATCGCCACTTAGCCAGAAAATATCAATACCGAGTTCCACGAAACTGTATGTCGTTGAACCGTTTCGAACAGCTCAAAAGGTACTTCCATGTATCTGATCCCCAGATTGAGCTTGATATAAAACACTGGTATAAAAAACTCGATCCATTAGCCACACTACTTCAAGAACGTTTTAGGAGATACTACCTTCCAGCAACCAAGGTAGCAGTTGATGAGATGGTAGTAAGGTTTTATGAAAGAAGTCACCACACTTTAAAGATAAGAAATAAGCTAATTAAGGAAAGATACAAGATTTTTGCGCTTTGTGACCATGGGTATACCTATAGCTTTCTTTGGTATTCAGCAAGTCAGGGTATCGCTGGATTAGATTCTCCTTCAGCAAATCTTACACCAACCTCATCGGGCGTGCTGCAGCTAGCTAAGCTGCTTTCAGGCAATTACCAGTGGCAGCTAATACTAGATAACTATTTTACAAGTGTACCACTTTTTGAGCGGCTAAGGAATTTAGAAATAGGAGCAGCAGGAACTATTAGAGTTGATGCTGCAGGATTTCCTAGTTCTTTGAAGATTGAAAAGGAGGAAGCAAGAAAGATCCTTCCCTGGTGTCATGTTAGTGGAGATATCGTGGGAAATGTATACTGCTTGGTTTGGCAGGATAATAGCACGGTCTTCTTTATGACCAGTTATCATGATATTACTTCAACAGTAGAAAGATTACACCGCCGGCCCAAAAGAACCAGTACCAATGCCCATACAGTTCGGGGAATCTTTGGAGATAAGTTACGAAAGACCCTTCCTATTCATCAGTTTATTGACGACTATAACTACCATATGGGGGGAGTTGACATTGCCGACCAGCTATGCTCTTACTATTCTACCCAACAGCGAAGTTGCCGCAACTGGTATCCATTCTTTTACTGGCTTCTGGATACATCACTGGTCAATTGCTATCGAATACAAAAAACAATTCACCCTTATCGTATTACTCGCAGTCAACACTACCTTTTCTGCTCTGAAGTGGCTGAAAGGTTAATCTAAACTGGACTACAAGAACAATCAACTGTTTCTCTATCTAAACTAGGTAAGCTTTATATTGCGTCTTCACTTTATTATGAAAGTTTTTAGTTTGAAAGTTAAAGCATTTTAGATATTGCTAGTCACGGCATTTCAATATCTGAAAGCTTCTTGCCACAGGCCTCATCAAGCTCTAGGATATCTCCTTCCTCCGCTCTTTCTTCCTCCTCTCGAGCCAATATTCCTTATACTACTCCCAATAGTCTCATTCCTCCGGTTTCTACATTCTCATCGATTTCACCTAGCCTTTTCTACTCTTCCCTGGCCAATTCTATCTCTTCTTTGGACCCACTCATTCCTGCAAGAACACTTCCCCCTATTTCCTCTCCTTCGGACTCATTCAGATTACCAACTGATCCTCTCGAACCCTCTCCAATTCCATTTTTCACCATCCCGACCTCATCAAATGACAGTATTTCGTCTCTTGAACGCTCCCAAGCCATCTCTCTTTCTTCTTCTCTTTCTACTTCCATCATTGATCTCCCTGCTCCCCTTAGTTCAACAAAATATATTCACCGTCCCACCAGCCGGTTTAGCCCTTCAACCTCAAACTCTAAACCTTTTCCGATTTTATTTCCTCCACCAGTTACGCATACTTCAGAACAATGGCCTACATTTTCATCTTGTATTTTTTGCAGGTGGAAACGGTTTGAAAGCAGATTACCAGGTGCTAAGGTTAGGTCCATTAACTATGCTTGCAGAGAATGCAATATTGCCTTATGTCGTGAATGTTTTCCTGTATTTCATGGTATAATATATGGTATTAGTATCTAAGTATGTAATGGCAAAATAAATGCCAATCTGATATCACATGATGTCAATCATTTCCCCACATAGTTAGTTTTCTACATTTCAAACTGGACTGAATGTCTCAGCGGCCGAGGGGATACCGTTGTCATCAGGTTTTATTGTCCTTTTCTCTCATGCACCTCTTTGCATAAATATCGTCCGTGGCTGCATAGCGAGTTTGGCAAGTTTTACGGTAGTTTACATGAAACCCCGGCTGACAAATCGCCACCCCACAAAACCAAGGTAACCACCCCACCACCCTATCCATCTCATCCACCCCTTCAATCCCATCTCTCCCACCACCGCGAAAACCAGAATAATCAAACCTTGCATCGGCTCCGGAACCAGGCAGAGAAAAGTTAAACAAAAAACTCTTCTCCACCCTCCACCTCGCCAAGTAACAAAAAAAAAAACTTCACAACCGGCCGTGAGAGGCAAACCCAACCACAACCACAATCATGACGGCCGCTCCGCCGGTCCAAAAGGACCACCAACCACAGTTGCCAAAAGGCACTAAAGAGATGCACCAAAAGGCCCTCGCGGAGATCGAGCTGCAGCAGGCAAAGCTGCGGGAGATGATCGCCAGCAAGCGGGCGGAGAAGGAGACTTTGCAGGCTGTGTATGAGAGGCTCAAGAAGAGGGGGGATGATGGGAAGAGTTAGGGGTTGAGGAAGAGATGGAGGTTAGATTTTGCGTTGCGGTTTTTTGGAGTCCTTCTTTCAGAGAAGGATGGGGTTTTATGGGGCCGAGTTGTGTTTCTGGGCTGAATGAAGGATAGGGAGAGAATGAGGGAGGGTGGGGAATAAAGATTAGACAATGTATGTGGTTTTTTGGAGTTTTCTTATGAATTTGTGTTTCGACGGGATGGAGTTGGACGGGATGAAGGATAAATCAGTGTAATGATAATGTTATAGAACGCTATGTGATGCCCTGCCCTGACACGGTGGGCTAAACTATGGTTCTTCGGCGCTTGCCCTGCACTTCGGAGCTTTTTAGAATAACTCCTCACCCTGCTCCCGAACTGAAGATCACAACTTGCCTGTCATACCCGCACCTGGACCAACGGAGACAATCAGATCACAACACATCAAATTCCGCAAACAGTCTGCCACTTGCACTGCTGTGAACCTTCATGTACACCGTCTTCCACTACATAGTCCGAACACAATTAAGCTACCCACGAACAAACGAAACAAAGGAACAATAACGCATCCCCAGTGTCTTATCAGACCAACATCAACGCTGCACGCACAGTATTTTAGGTTAACTGCTTGCGACTCGAGAGAAGTAAACAAAAGCACCCTCCCCCCTATATAATAGATAAGCCTGCAGCTAGCCATGGGCGGGGTAGTATTCTAGTACCACCTACCGTCAAGAACTTCCAAGCGATCGTAGAACCCCCGAATTTGCATTGCTGTATCAATGCGGGAAACTCTAGAGACGATATGTAAAGAGCAACTTACAATACCTCTCGACTATCTTTGCAGAGTATCATAAATAGCTCATGGTGTCGTAAATATATCAGTGGCCACCACGCACAACGAGAACACTATATCATCGGGGTATAATAAATTCAATTCTAAACCACCCCATCCCACCGAGGGAACGAGATCCCAGGTGATACCCCATGGCCAACTGACCAGCCCTCACCCTTCTTTCCTCTGGGAGGCCTCAGCCCGCAAGGGAAGCCTTCAAAGCATCCCCGTATATGCCCAAAGCAACAAAACAACACCAAACAACTCGTATTCCATATATTCATATCATTTACTTCACCCCCTCTCCCCTCTTTCCCCCTCGCTCATGTCCATTCCACCCAGTCAACAAGATAGAGAAAGGGCACTGCAGGTTAACCCCCAACACCCAAGCGTTCAAACACCACAATTCCCCATAGCGCCTCACTCCGAATCTGAAGCACTCCCTCCATCACCCTCGTCATCTGACTCGGGCACAATATCACCCCCAGCCGTCATGAGGTACTCCGCTTTCTGCAGCACAACGCGTAGCTCGGTATCTCTTGGGTCGACAATATCTACAGGTCTTTGCTTGGCTTTGTTCCGTATCCTATCTTCCCATCAGCTCCCGCCAAACAATCTACTGTCCGGGGGGAGGGGAAGGGGAGGGGAGGAAAACCTAGGATCAGCCCCAGCATCGATCAGCATCTCCACCACCTCCAATCCACCCTCCTCCCGAGATTTTGCGTATAAAACAGCCTTATGAAGAGGAGTTTCCTTCTCCATTCTGTCCAGTGGGTCGACTTCTAGGCCTTCTTGGTCGAGGAGCAAGTCCAGTACTTCCACTACTCACCCGCACACCCACAATTAAACTATTAGCCTCCAGCAGGGGATGGTGGTGGGGGGGCGTACGAGAGCCATTTTTCGCCGCAAGATGAACAGCAGTATTACCAACCCCGTCTCGGGTATTATTTAACAGATCAGCGAGACCGGAAGCGCCCTCTGAAATAACTTCTTCGAGGAGGTCGGTATTATTTCGCCGGGCGGATTCGAGCAGGAGTTCTTTTAGGGACGCACCCTGCTGCAGCACCGTTGAGTGAGCCCTGGTCCATTCCACTGGAGACGCCGCGAACAGAGCAGAGCAGATGAGGCAAACAGTAAACAAAAAACGAGAGATGGAAAAACAAACCTCCTCTTCAGCCCCTCGAGAAATCGCAGCCATGATCTAGCCTTATTCTTCTACTTCTCTTTGTTCCTGCTGTTGCTGTCGTTGTTGTTTGCAAGCGTAGTCTACCGTGCGCACGTATTCAGCGATTACCACGACACCCGTTCAATAGATGAAACAAATCTGAAAAGAAAAAAGCGTCGTGTGCTCAACTCGGTTCAGTGCAATAGGTGATCGGAAGCACTCTCTCACTCACTCAGGAGGAATAGGATGGAAAAGAAAAGACCCAACCCTCCAAGTTTTTATTCCCTTATTTTAAGGATACGGGAGATGAAGCAGAAAACAGAAAGAGAAACAACCAGGCTTGGTTTGGTCCAATGAGCCCTCGTGTGGTGGGTCCCAAGTCCAGTAGATGCAGGTGAACAGGCATAATATTATAGGTCGATGGGCTATTAGTGGGACATTACGTTCCCCTTGCTGTGCCAAACCAACCAACCTATTTGATGCATAAATAACTTTTTTTCTTTTTTTTTTTCTTTTATCTTCTCTCCCTTCCACGGGAGCTATTATAAAGAAAGGCAAAAGTGTCACATGATACCTACAAGAAAGTTACCGTATTGGACTGTCAAATTTAGGTTACAGTAACTTGCCTGGGTACTTGGACCACGGTATCATCATAATACGGTATCATAACGGTTCTCGAGTACTCGTACTGCACACAAACCCTGCAGGGGCCAAGTTTTACATCATTGAGATCCAAGAGCCTCAAACTGTTTTATTATACCAGTACCAGAGTTGACCACAGTGCCGGAACGACATTCACACGCAAGCACATCATTCACCCCACTACTAGCACTCTACTGTACTGTGCTCGTAGTACTACTAGTATACTACCCCAACTTCCACCCCCAACCAACCGGAACGAACAGCAACAACAAAAAATGCTCCTCTTCTGCCCCCAATGCTCAAACTCACTGACCGTCTCCCGCGCCCCCGAAACCGGCACTAACCGCCTCGAATGCCGCACATGTCCATACCAATTCCTCCTCGACCAGGCATACTACGAGCGCAAGTCGATGAAGCGGAAAGAGGTCGAGGATGTACTCGGTGGAGAGGGGGCCTGGGATAACGTTGATCAGACGGATGGTAAGCCTTTTTTCCCTTTCTCTACCCCCACCCCTGGGTGATGGTGGCTAATGGAGGGCGCGGGTGTAGCGCAGTGTCCTGTGGATGAGTGCGGGGGTACTAGGGCCTACTTTTATATGGTGCAGATCAGGAGTGCGGATGAGCCTATGACTACGTTTTATAAGGTATGTTCTCTCTATCTCTCTCTTTCCCGCTTACTCGCCCCGTGGGCTTGTGGTGGGATGACATTGACAAATTTGACGGGGGCAGTGTGTTTCTTGTGCGCACAAGTGGAGGGAGAATTGAGTCCTCGGGGGGTTGTCGTATCACTGTACTTTTACCATGCTATTCTGTATCTATACTGCGGAGATTGATCAAGGGGAGATATTGTTGGTGTCCACGACTTCCATGGCGTCAACCGGGGAGAATAATTAGACTGTGAAGCGAAAATCCAATCAAGTTCGTGCAATTTCCCCTCTCCGTATCAGTCTCGTAGATCACGAGCGAAAGCCAAGCAATGAGATCACAACACCGCTAATTCTACTGACTAGACCTCTCTACTCGTACTGTAGCGTTCAAAGTAGCAAGGACTTCTAGAAACATTTTAAATCGGCCAGGCCAGATGCTTTAATTTGTTTGGAAGTTGATGATATTCACAAAACGACTCCCCACAAATCCCACCCCAACTTACGCCACCTGGTGCCGAGAGGAAAATGGAAGGGAAAAAAAAAAAAAAAAAAAAAAAAAAAGAACAGAACAGAACAGAACAGGTGGAAGGAAAATGGTTGAGATATGAGGAAAAGAAAAAGTCGTCGGGCTTTTTTTTAAAGGGTTCCTCGGAGTGTATAATAGTTACGAAAAAAAGGAGAGAAATGGAAAGGCTAGAGACGAAGAGAGAATAGAAAAAAAGTGTAATCCAGCAAGCAATCGAAATCAATATCAATCACCCCCATCCCCACTCTGGCCCTTTCGAAAACCCTTAATTCCATAATGGCACTCCCGGAACAATGTAAAAACCCGACTCCCACCTTTCTGTTTCCCCCCTCCTTCTTCCGGCCCATTCTCCCCTCTTCGCCCCTGCACCACATTTATTTTGTAACACACTCCCAGCGTACCCAGGAGATACCCGTCGAGAGGAAAGGAAAGGGCTAGAAGAAGAAAATTGGAATTGTCGCACATCGATCGGATTGGGAAAACGGAAACAAGTTTTTTTAAAAAAAGAAGGTTCGTTGGAAAAGGAGAATTTAACTTGAGATTATTATTTTTGCGCCGATTTTTCTGCTATGCGACACAGTCTAATACCCGAGTTTCACCAATTCCTCCTTGTTTGTGGAAGTCTTGTCGGCCGCAATAGCCAACTTCTTCACGAGGGCCTTCTTCCTGGCATAGAAAGCTGTCGATTTGGCCTTCCTCCTCTCCTCAAGCCTGAATAGTGGCACAAATCAGTTTCACTTTCCCAAAACCGTTAAAATGTATGCTCTGAAGATGTGAGTGACAAACCTCTCGACAACGTCCTGGTACTTCCATCCGACCTCGTGGCTCAGCCTTCCGACAGTGCAGTACTTCCTTCCAGGCTTCAACCTCAAGACCCTCAAAGCCTGGGGAACAACCATCCTCTTCTTAGTGTCATATGGAGGAGGAATACCCTCAAACACCTTGAGGCGCTCAAGAGCGGCCTGACCACGGGCGGTCTTGTGAGAAACCATACCACGGACAGTCTTGTAAAAGATGCGCGATGGGGCACGGAAATGGAAGGGACCACGAGTCTTGTTGTAACGGGTAGCTTTGCGAAGATAGGCATGGTACTTGACTATACAGCTCGGAATGAGGCGTTAGCTTTTCGCGCCACAAGATCAGGGGTAGCAAGAGCTCAAAGAAGACTCATTTCCAGATAGAAGGGTAACACACGCTTGCTTCTGAAGAACTCGCCGGAGATATTCAAGTCTTCGCATCTAACGACCACAATCTTCTGACCGTTCAAAAGCTGCTTCGCAACCGCAGAGGCCAGGCGACCAAGGAGATGTCCCTTGCCATCGATAACGACCTATACCAAACGGCACCAATTAACTTCCCATTCCTATTTGGATATTTCACGAAGGCCCAATCCAGCTATAATATTATTTTATCTCCCCCCGATATAGCAATATCCAACGGAGAGACAAACTCACCACAGGCTCGAATTGGGACATCCTTGCTGCTGTTGTAGATGGCGCTTAACGAGAGAATTAGAGGAGAAGGGTCGGCGAAGGCGTCGTTGCGTCGTCGTCGTGTCGTTGGGTGTTGGTTTGTCGTTGGGGGTGGGGGGGAAGATTTCGAGGTTCAAGTGTTTGATGATATCGAGTTGAGTTGTGTGTGGCTGTCCCTCGATCGGTGTGAGATGGCAGTCCTCGGGGGAAGGGTTAGACCTAATCTTATCTAGTTAGTCAGCAAAAAGCGCCAGTCGGTCGACCGGCACGAGACTACGGGTACGAGTATGGTTGGTTGATCTACGATACAACGCTCACATGTATGGAACTTATGGTTAGACTACAGTCAATTTAATGTTAAATTTACCTTGTTCCCGTGAACAAGCACAAAGGTGAACAGCCAGACGGAAGCCAATATGCGGGGTCGTTCTTTGCATGGGACATCACTCGCTAGTTTATTTTTACTTAGGATTTTCCAGCGTACTCGTACAGCGAATTTCAACCCGTAGAAGTCCGAATCACGAGGGGCTGATGGTATCCCCAAGGGGTCGGCATAGTAGCAACTTGGTCCTCGAGCCCAAAGATAGTCTACGATGTCTGCTCCGCTCTGCTCGAGTACTCGTACTTGAGTTCTGCTCTGTTCCCCACCTTGTCCCATGTGGGTTTCATAGTGATGTCACCGCGAGTGTTTGGGATACCCATGTGGTAATCAGGAACAAGACCAGAAGATGTCTGCATCGACCTTAACGTCAGAGAATCACCAGCCTTAGACGGTGAACTCATGCTCAAGCACAGCAGGCTACCCTTGCACTTTGCCAGGGATACGGCATTGCTCTACGTAATGTCCTTTGGGGATATTTGCCTGGCGATGATTCAAGGCCGGGATCAAGGGGGAGTATTGGTAGTGGATATTTGGTTGCCGGAGCGCACTAATCCTGGGAAATATCGGTGTGATACTAATATGTATAATCATACTTGGCTTATGCCTTCTCAATGAGAGCAGTCCAACATGTCTTCCCCCTCAAATTAACTATCATTCTCAGTACAGCGTAGTCACTCCGTTGACCACTCGTTCAATCATGGCATTTAATCATGGAAACCACAGCTATTGTCCAAAGAATCCATCTACCCCTTGCCCCCCACTATGGTATGATACTATACTCGAGTATATGATAGGCACAACCAAGCGACGTCAACTTACCCATCAACGAAGAAAACCCTCCGTGCAACTTTACAACCAGAAAAACACCGCGACCACGATACATGACATACACGTTATCATATCATATTCACCCCGAACCCAGCTATCACGCCCGGATAGGATGAAACGAAACAAAACTGAGCACGGTATCATACCGCACACAACAACAACAAATCCCCCCGAGTGCGGGAAATTCCCAACCTCCCCGGGTCAGTTAGCGAGTCGAAGTTCCAGATCCGATCGACTATGGCCGGTGCCGATTGCAATGGAAGGTAAGGGGGGTTGGAATGACAAAGACTATGGGAAAAATGATTATCGGTTAAAATTGTCTGTAATTCGCTGGGATCCGATGAAAAAGTGAGGTGCAGTCTGATGAATTAAGTTCTCACCATACAAAACCGGGGACAAAAATTAATAATGGTAAGGTACGATGCATGACTAAAATTTTCAGCAGTAGTGAGTGGCGTGGTGTGGTGGATGCACCGGAGAAACTTGACCCCGGAGGTTCTCTCTGGTACGAGTATTTTTCCCCTCCTGCCGAGGCAACCATTATTAGTAAAGAATAAATCTCGCTGGATGTACAGTACTCGGGTAGGTGCCAAACGTCCGTACAATTCAGTACAGTACGAGTACATCTGTCAAACAGAACCATTCACAGGTTCTTGTTGACCGGTGGGAGGCCGTTTATGCTCGCGGCACTCGTGGAGCTACGGTAGCTGTGGTGAACGGTGCCACCAATTTGGATAGAAATCAACCCGCTTTGTACAGTACTGTACAGTACTGCATGATACCGTACTGTAGCCCACCGGTACCACTTTTGTATAGTATATCTGATGCTTGCGATTTACCGATGATAGGGAAAGGTCACCCTTCGACCGCAGTAGACTAGACTAGACTACGATACCGGTACAGCTCGATATCTTGTAGCACCGGCTTTGGCAATCTGCTGGAGCTTCACCGCAAGCTATGTTTAAACTTTTCTCTCTCTCCCCCCCCCCGTCTCATACAAGTAATATCGTTCAATGCAAATGCCACAGTGCGGATATCATAACTCTAGACCCCCACTGTACGATGATATCGAAACAATAGTATCATGACGGCAGCACTCGTACGACAAAGTGTGAAAACGCATCGGTCCGGTGCGGATATACTGTGCACCGTCCATTTCCTACCGGTATTGTGCCGTGAGGAGGGTAAAGTTACTTGTACTATAGGAAATGAAGCGTGACGTGATGTGACCGGTACTCGAGTACAGTCCAGTACGTCGCTTTCGGCGTTTAGACTACTCGTAGGCTTTTCACCCACTCTAGTCTAAAGGTGGCGGTAGAGAACCGTACGAGTGCTTCGGCCGGCCAAAGAGCTTATCTCCGCAAGCGGGTGTTTTTTTTTTTTTTTTTTTTTTCCTCCCTCTCCTTCCATCCCCACCTACCGCGCTCTGCTTGGTATGCGTTCGTTCAATTGTTTGGTTGGCCGGTTGATTTGCTGACATTCCAGATCCGGCTTTGGCAGGAAAGAAAGAAGAAGAGAAAAAAAGGCGTTCCATTGGGATTATTGAAATGGATAGCGCACGGTACCGGTATGGTAGGGTGGTAATTAAGTTAAAAACCCACCTCCTCCCTGGGAGTCGCACAGGTATCATACCGTAGTTCGGTTTAAAGTCTTGTTTGTTTATTTTCCCCCCCCCCTTGCCTTCAAGAATCGATTGAGTACGGTAGGTGGGCGGAAGTATTGCTCCACTGCGGTATATTGCACTACCGCTACGAGGAGGTCTTCACACATACCAGCGTGGCCTCCGGAATCCTAGGAGGCGAGCAAGCAAGGCATATATCAATAAGCCTTCCACCTCCTCGCCTTCCTTCTTCTTTCCTCCGACCTTATTATTATTATCACCATCGTTATATATATATCATAATTTACCACCTGAGAGGGAGAGGTAAAGTTAGAGAGAGAGAGAGAGAAAGATGTTGTTAATCCAACTCCTCCTCTTTGCCCTCTCCTCCGACAAAAAGCTCGAGGCGAAGGCATTTCGCAAGACCCAAGCTCGCATGCGCCGACAACAAGAAATTCGAGAACAAGAGTTGGCATATTACCGGGTTGGTGGGTTCCGATAACCCCCCCGTCTCCCCCCTCCTCCCTGCTACCCCGCAACAACGACAACCACCACCCAAAATGTTACGAACAAACACCCCACCATCGCCACTCCCCCTCCGCTTGTACACCCATAACATCCGCTACGCGACCACCCACCCCCTCCCGCATGAATCCTCCTGGCCCACTCGCTTGCCGCGCATAATCTCGAGCATAGCCTACACCCAGCACCAGCACCCCTCCACCCTCCTCTGCCTACAGGAAGTCCTGCGCACGCAACTCCTCTCCATCCTCTCGCTGCTGCCTCGCAGCTACAACTACATCGGGCGCGCGCGAGACGATGGGCATGAAGCGGGCGAGTACTCGCCCGTGATCTACGACACGGAGGTTTGGCGCCTGGACAAGTGGCGGAGCAAGTGGCTCTCGCCGACGCCAGAACGGCCGTCGAAGGGGTGGGACGCGGCGTGTATTCGCATCCTGACCGTGGGCTACTTCACGCATTGGGAGAGTGGACGACGGGTCGTGGTTTTGAATACCCACCTGGATGATCAGGGGGCTGTCGCGCGGCGGGAGAGCGCTAGGATGATTGTTGAAGAGGTGAGAGAGGTGTTGGGGGAAGGGGAAGGGCGCGGAGTGGTGCTGGCCGGGGATATGAACTCTCCGGAGGGAGACGACGCATACAAGATTTTCACTGCGTCGGGAAGTCTGCTTCGGGACGCGCGCGCCGACGTGCCACCCGCGAAGCGATACGGGCATCAGATGACATTTTCCGGTTTCGGGAATGAGCATGAGATTCCCCAAAGAATTGACTTTGTGTTCGCCGCCGAGGCGAAGGAGGATGATGAGAAGGCGATCTGGACAATAACCAACTACTCGGTCCTAGAAAATAAATTCGATGACGAAATCTACTCCTCCGATCATAGACCTGTCGTTGTTGACCTTATCCTTTCTTAGTCTTTTCTTCTTTCTTCTTTCTCTTCCCCTGTTTCTATTTCATCATTGCGACTATTATTATTTATTCGTACCACTCGAATATATTATGATACAAGTACTATACCTTTATTATACTTTTATTATTATTGTCTTGTTTTTACTTTTTTTTTCCTGCTTAGGATGTCTACTGTATCATACCCAGCTCAGGAGATTGATTAGATACACTGAGGCAGGAGTAAGAAGGCGATAGGATGAATGAATGATCATTGAATGATACGCTCAAGTATGATGTACTTGAGGTCCTCACGCAAATCAGTCCACGAACCACCTAACCAGTTGCACTAGCCTTCGCTCTCCGAGAGAGAGAGAGAGAGAGAGAGAGACGCGAATAGGAGATTATATTATTCTGAACGGCTGCATACTAGTAACTCCTACTGTACTCGTACTCGTACTGTACCGGTCACTCTATAACAGTTATGATATGATATGATACGCTGGAATATTCCCAAGATGTGGGGTTCTGACATGGTACCGTACTTGTAGTACCGGTAGTTCGAGCGTTCCGCAACATGGAGACCAACTTTAGACTAAATGGCAAGATGTAAAAATTCATGCAATAGGAGACGCTTTCTTCTTCTTCTTAAAAAATATCATGATATTATTATCATACTCGGTAAGATATTTATTATTATTATTATTATTATTATTATTATTATGATAATAATATGATATAAAAAGGGAGAAAAATATCTCAAGTGCTCAAAGACGTTCCCCCCGTTGAAATCTGCCTTGCTGCCCATGCAAAATGTCCGTACAGCACCAAACCATATATCATAATATTATCGTATTATTATTTCTATTGGTGGGGGAATGCCGGTACCCTCGTCCCGATAACGCTATTCCATTTTCTTCACTAGTTGTTGTCGCTACCGTATTGCACCACCGCAAGATCTGGAGCGATGATCCACCCTCTCTGGCCATGCGCCAGTTCAATCAACAGGGGCGAGGGACAGTACGGTAGTCGAGTAGTGTTGATTACCCTAACCCTTGAGAACACTATGATACCAAATCATCATCGTCGGAAATCACCCCGACCGGCTGCAATGGGTTCAATTCGCTGACCTTGTGGCGTCAGGAGTTTCTCATCCCCGAATCCAGTTGAAAGGGCTAACGGAGATGGTGAATTTCAAAGTTTTCGCAGTACAAGTATCATAATTATGATAATATTATTATGATACCAGTGGTCACGTGCTAGATCTTTTTGTTGTGGCCGGTAATTTAAAGACCACCAACGGTATCATATATGATACCTACCCGGATTACGAAAATCACCCCCTCTCTACGAGCACAATGCTATGATACACACAACCCCCCTCCCATGCGAGTCGCTCACCAGCCCATAGTACAGTATCATCGACTAACCCTCTCCTTCCCGACCAAACCACAAACCTCCCAAACACCCTTTGAAACCCCCTCCCTGGGGTCCCACCGAGTTCAACAGACTATCATGGCACAACCACACTTACCCGCCTACAAAACCCCATATCACATCACGGTAGCATACCAAGTAAATAATAAAAATTCAATTTTCCCCTCCCCCCCGCAACCCCCATATCTCTTGGGCGCTGCTAACCCAGACCGGACCGGACCGGACTAGCCTCATAAAATGACCGTAAAAAGTGAAAGAGGTGAAAAAAATGAAAAAAGTTTACAAAGAAGTAACCCCCCTCCCCATCCCGCTGCTCTGATGAATGGAGAATGAGGAAGGTGAAGGAGGAAAGTAAGGGAGAACTTTTAAACTAAGGAAGAAATAAGATGAAATATGAAACTAATAGTATGATAATAAGGTTGTGGGGTGAGTAGGCCGAAATTTATCACAGACGCAAAGGCAAAAATGGAAGAAATGGAAGAAAAAACGCCATCCCACCAGTTCCCAGTAAGTAAAGGCCATACGAGCAAACGGGAAATAAAAGAAAAGGGAAAGTTTGATCGAGGAAAGGACCCCCGAGATCTTTAAGATAAGATACGATAGTCGGACCGAAGGGAGAAAAAATGAAACGCCGCAAGAGCAACCCGCAATCAAAACAAAAGTAAAGTAGAGAGGAAACAAATTGGAAGAAATAGAATAACACTTGACCCTTCCCTTTTACCATGAAACAAACAGAAAACAAAATGTAACAAAATGTAACTTTACAGAGCCCAGCCCGACCGAAATAGAAAGAGAGAAAAAGAAAAAGAAACATAAAAACCCATGAATGAGAGCACATTCCATGCTGATTAAGGTGCGGATAAGATGATTAAAGGAAATGAAGGAAAAAAATACAAACGCTTATGTGAACCACGGTAACACGTTTCCCATCAACGTGTAGGTAAAGAGAAAATGAAAAAGAAAGAAAAAAAACTAATTACGCAAGAACACTAGCATTCATGCGGTATCCGCTCTCTAGAGCCCAATCCTTGCCCATGTTTGTAGAAGCCGGTTGGTTATCCCACTCAATCTCTTGAAGCATCTCATCGCCTAGACTTCCCTTATAGCCAAACGGATTCCAATCCTCGTAGCCCCCGCCGACATTCTCTGACATCGAATCACCGCCCTCAGCATCGGATGGGCTGGGTGTGTAGGTGGGAGTAAAGATTGGAGGATACAAAGCCGATAAGCCAGACGTCTGCTCAGAGAGCCCATCAAAGCATTGGCGGAGAACATCGGGAGACATGGAAGCGCCTTCCCAAGCATTGCTGCCCGGCGGGGTCGGAATTTGATCGTTATGGTGCTGGAGTTGGTGATCCTCTTTCGTCATAGTTTTGATCCCAGAGGTCGATCTTCCAGCACTGCCAGGCGTCTTAGCATTCGTAGGGTGTGGGGTGCAGAAGGCTGGAAGAGCAGGCGATTTTCCCGATGGGAGAGGAGTGAACCCAGACTTCATGTTCAAGGGGGTATTAGGCAGAAGAGGAGTTGACCCAGCTTTGACCTGGGGGGTTGCACAAGCGGTTCTCGAAGGGGTATCATCCTTCATCGCAGCAACACTTTCATCCTTCTTCTCTTTAGGCTTTCCATCCTCACCAAGACCAAGCCCTTCCCGCACAGAGCTCAAAAAGTACCCAACAGGGTCCTTGCGCATCCTCTCCCTCTTCTCCGCTTCCTCGATAGCTTTCTGAGTCTCCCTCTCATGCCAGCGCTGATGCTCCAAAAGCTCCCGGTTGGTCACGAATCCCTTGCCCCCAATTTCGCAGCCAGGTTGAGGGCACTTGAATGTCTTTTGCTCCCCAAGAGGCTTCGCTTTAGGAGGCTCCACGGTATCAGGTTCACGCAGTCTCTTCTTGCGGGCTGGAGGAAACTTTAGGTCATCAACACTGATCCTTGGCTTTATATCAATAGGCGTGCAGACGTCCGGAGACATTGAGCCAACAGCTTGAACACGCGCATTGAGTTGAGACTCCCGTGACTGTAAGGATCGGGATCTCTCGAGTGCCAACAAATTTGTCTGCTTCTCAAGATTCCTAGTGCTCAACACGTTCTCACTTGATGGCGGAACAGGTACTTGCAGCTGTTGATGCTGCTGGGCCTGGGCCTGGGCCTGGGGAGGCGAGACCCGCTGCGGTTGCTGCGGCGTGCTTGCAGGAGGAACACGAGGCCCAGGGAATGGACCACCGTTCGGATTGGCGAAAGCAAGCGCCCGCATCTGTATCTCCTTGGCCCTCTCTGGGTCCTTATTGAAGGCATTTTGCATATTCGTTTTAACGTAGCTAAAGTATTTCGTCAGAGATCCACGGGACTCAGTAAACTCCCTCAGGCTTAAAGTGAAGACATCCTTAGGATCTCCAGTAGGATGATACTGCGATGCGAGCAAGTTTTTCTAACAAGAGCAAGTTAGCAGTGTCAAAATGGTGAGGAGAATGATCTTGTTAATTACCGTTCGAATAAGTTCTCGTGTAAGTTTTTCAGGGCCATTAAGCATGATAAAGATGGGCAGCAACTGATCTGTACGGCGAATCATATTCTTCGTGCTCTCATCACCCAATTGTTGTCGAAGAAACCCTCGCTCATTAGCGTCGAGTTGAAGCGGCAATCGACTCTCATGGCTGTTCTTCTCCTCCTCAAGCAATTTCATCAACCCATTAATCTGCATTCGTTGGTTCAAGTTCTGCCCTTGTTGCTCCTTCTCCATGACTGCTTGCTTGGCCGCCGTCGCTTCCGAGATAGCTTGACCGGCTTGGGCGGCATTTCCTGGAAGCATGGGGGCTTGTTGAGGAGCATTCGTCTTCTGGGCCTGTTGCTGAACCTGGTTTGAGAACTGAGACGGGCCGGTCGGTTGTTGTCCCTGTGGCCTATCCGGTCCAGGTCGCTGAGGTTGCTGCACAGCTTGCTTCCGATCTATTACCACCAAGTCATCCTCGCTCTGATCCCTCTCACGCTTCGTCTTTTTCAAGGCCGAGGGAGAATCTCCCGATCCAGGTTGTTGCTGCTGATGATGCAGCTGCTGCGATTGTTGGGGCTGCTGCTGCGGTGGCTGAGGACGGGTGATGGGTGTTTGCGGTGGAGCAGGAGGTCGTGGAGGTTGCTGAGCCGGTTGATTCGGCCCGACATTCTGCGGATGAGCTGCCCGAGCCCGCTGTATCTGCCGCATCTGGTGTAATTCCCTTAGGCGGAAAATGTGTTGCTGCAACTGACGCTGATCGTCTGGATCCAAACGGCCCTGCGAAGCAAGCTTCTGCAACTGTGTCAACTGATTGCTGGACATCCGGGTGATATCTCCAGTAATCGGGATTAGAGAATCTCCTGGTGCTTTTTGCTGGGCGTTTACACCAACTGGCATCTGTTGTTGGTTTGCCTGCGGGAGCGCTTGGGTTGTCTGCGGTGGCGGTTGCTGCTGCTGTGCTTGTTGGCCGGGTAGAGCGGGGCCACCGGGACCTCCGGAAGCATTTCTGTTCTGCATGCTCCGGATCTGCTGGGTAAGGAATGCGAAATGTTGGGCTTGTCGAGCCCGAAGAGCCTCATGATACTCAGGAGGTGCCTCCTTCAGATACTGTTTTATTTGACCCCATGTCTTGAACTCCTTCGGTATTGTTTGACCCAGTTGTCCTAACATAAGCCTCGGCACTTCCCTCGCGTCCATCATAGCAAGATCTCGGGGAGATAGGGGCATTAGCGTTGGACCCTGACCCGGTTGAGGTGGTTGCGGAGCTTGGGCAGCATTGACTTGCTGCTGTTGCGGGAAATCCTGACCCGCCGGATTCTGAGCGGGGGGCTGGGACGGTGTCGGCACCTGTTGTGCTGATTGAGGTCTGATCACATTAGGAGCAGGCCGTTGTGGTGGCTGCGGCTGTTGTGGTTGTGGTTGGGGAGCAGCTGCTTGAGTAGCCTGTCGTTGTTGTTGCGCCTTATTGAAGTGTTCCTGAAGTTGCTGCTCAACGAGGTTAGTTTGACTTGGAGGAAGACCCTTAAAGACTTGAGGGATAGCCCTTGGTTGCTGCTGCTGTTGCTGCTGCTGTTGACCTGTCGGATTCATAGCGGCTTGTTGCAGTCCAATCTGTTGCGGGTGTTGAGGTGGATGTCGTGAGTGTTGCTGCATATTTACCGTCGGGTTTCCTTGACTAGGAGAGGCGCTCGGTGGTTTTAACGGTTGGTTCAGGTTGTGTAATGGCTGCCCTGGTGGTGGCCTCTGGAATTGAGCGGCATGAGCACGAGCGTGTTCACGGATGGCATTGTTCTGAGCTGTTGTTGCATTTCTATGGAATTGTTCAGCTTGTGTTTGTGGACCCGGATTTCCCATGTTCGTTGGCGCTATAGAATTCGGTACCATAGAATCTGATGGGAATTGCGTCATCAGATTTTTAGACACCGGGACCACCTCCGCTCCTGTGCTTGCACGCTTTTTGGCCTCCGCTTGTTGGGCTTCATACTCTTGCGCCGTCCTTAAAAGGCCCGGAAGAGGTATCTGCGGTCCCCCTCCCCCTGTAGCCGGGGCCACGGATCGGGGGAACTGTTGCGCCTGGGGTGCTGGGCCCGATACTCCCGGTTGACCCCCGGGTACCTGAATCGCAGCTGCCGCCGCTGCCGCTTGCTGCTGTTGGCTCGCTCTCTGCTTGTACATCATGAGTGCTTGGTGTCGTAAGAATGCCTGTGCTGGTTGCACTTGCAACTTCCGAGCAAATTCACGGATATGCGCTGGAGGATTATTATTGACATTTTGAAGGTAGGCCTGTCCAACCCTTTGGGCAATGGTCTGCATGAACGCAACAATGATCTTATTAGGGTCAGGTCCTTGTTCAGACTGGCCAGGTGGAGCCATGACCGGTGCGGGAACGCCAGAAGCTACAGCCATCTGATACTGCTGTTGTTGCTGGAGCCGCTGGTGTTGAAGCTGCCGCAACGCCTGCTGTTGCTGCTGCTGCTGCTGCTGCTGCTGAGCCTGTTGCTGCAATGCCTGATGCTGCTGTTGTTGAGCCATCGCCTGATGCTGTATCGCCACTTGGTCCACGCCCATATTCATGCTCCCGTGTGCTACGCCAAATATCGCCCCACCCTGTGGATTATTCCTCATCCGCATCTCAGCCTCGGCCATTTGCCTTTTTCTCGATTCGCATATCTTGAGTAATTTAGCACGACACGCAATTTGGTATTCTTCCTGTGGCGAACGTAAGGGCAGTAAGTACACAGCATTTGAAAAGGAAAAGACAGTCAGGAGATCCAACCCACCTTGTTTTGTGACTTTTCATAAGTCGATCGTTCGAAATTCGTCGCAACCTGGATGGCTTGACTCTGCTCTATCTCCGGCTGCGCAAGTCGGAGCGAACTCGCGCTATTTATCAAAGAATTAGTCCCAAGCAATAACGTCAGGGCTTTTTTTAGCGTCCTAAGGCTTAACAACAAAGGGCATCCAAAGGCGACGCGTAAAGACCGGTGAAAACCGAGCCGGACATTTCGGTTTAAAAAATGATGGGGACATGTGGCAACATACATATGAATGATTGTACTAGCTCGCTGCGTAGGTTGCATCTCCCGTTGCCATCCTTGCGGGTTCCAGTTCTGCTTCAGGTCATGAAGTACAATCTGGAACAACCTCTGGTTCTCTGTTCCGCCACCACCAAAACCACCAGCAGGTGCTGGTCCGTTCATGTTGTAGATGTATCTCGTCTAACGTGATCAAAAAAAAAAAAAAAAAAAAAAAAGGTCGCAGCGATATCAAAATGAAATATTGTTGTTGCTTCCTATGTATTTGTTTGAGCGTGAGATCGTAGGTGGGTTCTCGACAATAGATTTGGAGTGCTATCAGTTCGTTCAATGCTCAAGGGCAGCGAGTATAATAGGGATCGTTTCTATACGTCTCGTATGCGGTGAGGTGTTCTGTAGTGCGGGCAAATAATCCAACCACGTCAGTCCCCAAACAGCCCTTCTCTCTGGATCGAATGCGGTAAGTTTGATCGGCGCAAACGAACATGCCAGTCCCTTACTCTGGATTATTGTTTTTCACCCGCTCTCTCTCTCTCTCTCTTTCTCCCAGTTCAAGAAACTTCCCGGGCCGTTGCAGCAGGCGAACGGGACGACCAGCACCCTTTTTTATTTCCGAGCGAGAGAAGATAAAAAAGGAATCGGGGGAAGCTACGATGCGTCAGGCGTGGAGGAAATGAGTGGAGGGATGGGGTAGGATGGTGAAAAGGAAAGGGCTCGATGGTGGGTGGGTTGAGGAAAGGTAGTTGTAAGTGGATGAAAAGCGAGGGAAAGAATGAGGAGGCAGCACAGTACGAGTACTTGATGGTGGTGGTTGCCGTTTGACGCTCACTCCAAAACTGAGGGATCGGAGGCTAGGGTAGTCGAGTACAAGTAGGTTTAGAGGGGCCGGGACAGGGTGGGTGGGAAGAGAGGGAGTAAGAGGAAAGGGTGGCCCTGATGGTGGTGGTGTGTGGTGTGCGGCGGGTTAAGTGGGTGGGTGGGTGGGTGAGTTACAGTATAGTACGAGTACAAGCAAGAAGGAGGGCAGGAAAAAGCAAGCCTGGGCTGATGATGCGCACGGCGGAAAAGCGTGTTTTTTTTTTTGGTTTTTTTTTCCCCCTTCCTTCTTCTCCCTTGGTTAACTTACGTACCTTTTGCCACTCAGAGTCGGAAAACCAATGCTACCGTATATCAGCTCTAGAGTAGACAGAAAAGGTGAACCTCGAATATCAGACGGTGATTTTTACCGTAGGAGAATAAGATTCATGTAGAAAAATTGTTTGCTGCTGTGTGCCTCGAAACCGGCAGCCAGTCTGTCAGGGCTAGTTGAAACGCTTCACGCAGCAACGCAGACGACTCCGGGACAACGAGGGGGGGGTCGCCTTCAATCAGAGCTGTCTCCAAAAAGCCCGGGCAATGCCACCAATGATGGAATGATTGATGGATGATGATGCCGCAGTAATGGCAATAAGGAGCAACAAATGGGGGGTAGAAAAAAAAAAAGGCAATATCGATACCGCAGTTCAACAAGGGAAAAAAGTGAAAGAAAAGAAAGAAAAGAAAGAAAAATTTATTCCCGACAGTACCTGTAGAAGTGGACCCGCAAATCAGCAGAGTAATAGTAAATGCCGAGAGTCATATCAGGGCAAAAAGGGCCCTCAGTCATTTCACGGTCAGGAGGGCAAATAAATGTTAATTATGGTGAGGACGTCAAAAGTACTTGGGGCGGTGGACTACAAGCTCCTGGTGTATTGGGGGAAAACGCCTAACCTCACTAAACTACAAGTAAACTGCAGCCAGCCCATGTACAAGTATGGTGTATCTACTCGAGCACTGTATCATACCCTACAAGTACTGTACCAGCACCCGAGTACGGTATAGATACTGGTATCATACAGGGGTTGCGCAGTCTGACCTACCCTAGGTGGGAGTTATCATTAGTGTTGCCCAGAAGTCGCCACTCACATCGAGAGCTCATGAAACCACCGACAAATGTCGAGCTTCTTAAACTCGGTCCTTTTAACAGGTCATACAGTGGCCAATTCTCAAGAATTTTGAAGCTGCTCTTGTTGGCATTGTGCTTAGGGAGAGAAACTGCAAAATGATACCTTAAAAATGGAGGCACAAAAATACGGTATGATCTGATAGAAGTGGACGTTTAGGGCCCTCAACTCCAGGCACGATTTCATGGCTTTCACCTCCAGCAGGCGGGATAGCCAAGCCTCGTCATTAACCTATGTTAACACCACCTACAGTAGGTATCTCTCCTCTCAAACCTTCTCAACTGGTCTGTTAACGGCTTCCCATATTATGCAAGTACTCGTACAGTACAGTACAAGCACTTTATCCCACGAACACTCTACCGGTATCAAAGGAACCCAACTCCATTCATTTCAACTAAATTTCTTCTAAATTCCTTTCCTCCGTACACCTTTCTTCCTTCTCCATTCCCGGCACAGTTCACGCAAGCTCCTCTTGCGTGCACTAAATCACACACATTAGACCAGTACAGGTACTGCACTACTGTATGCGACTCGACATAAAACTGTACGAGTGAGTGCTCGTACATGCTAGTATTCTACTTCTCTACTCGTACAGGCTGGAACCATAGGAAGTAAGGAAGCACCACGGCCATCAAAAGAGAAAGGGGAGGAGGAGAAATGAAAATGAAAAATGAAAAAACGGCGGAAAAAGGAAAGAGAGAAAGAGAGGGTTGCCTGTCAGGCCTGTCCGTCCTGTCCTTCATTCCTGCCTGTCTGTCTCTCCGTCCGCACTGGACGACTCCCTTCCCTTCCCTACCCTCAACAG